GCCATCAGGAACCAAGACATGAAAACAAGTATATCAAAGTCACCTGTAGAAGTTTAGACATCCAGTTCAGTCCCATAAGATACCTATCCTTCCCAAAAGAGCTTGTGGTTTCTAAGGTCAAGTACTGAATAGTTAGAGAGGAAAATACTGAAGGGCAAAGAGATATCTATGCAGAAGAAATCCGGCTCTGACTTATCTGTTTCTGGTCCTTCACCCATGATTATGTGAAAGCTGTCTGTTCTTACAATTCACTTTGCTTGGGTTGCACTATTTTACCAAAAGACTCAAAAAAAGGAGTGGACTCTTTACCCAATACCCACGGCTCCGGAATGGTCAAAGCCAAGCTTACTGAAACCCAAAGATAAGACCCAGGACACCAAATCAAAGAAGTCTCTCAGACAGAGGCTAGAGTAAAGAAGTTAAGGTAAAATCCTTCTGCAGAAAGTGTAAAACACTTCTCCCCTTGCCATTCTCACGATGAACTGCTTAATTCTGAAATCACATGGGAGCTTGGGGCTGCCCTTGAGGTACCTCCAGGGCTGCCCTGGCAAATGACATTGGCTAGTACTGTCCTGGAAGCATGAATGTTGGACTTGTTTCCCATGTAGTTCCATTATGTAGTTCCCATGTAGCTCCCATCTTAGCAGCAAACGTCTATACCACTAGGGCTTCTTCTGTCATGGAGCTTATGCAAAAAAAAAAAAAAACTATCTGCCTGAACAGCTGTGATCCAATTATACCTAACATTGTACTCACCATGTTATTTCAGCTGACTCAGTGTTTGGGACAAGATGAAGTGTTTGTCACAATCCTTAATACAGATGATCTCCAACATACAGTGGTTCAACTTACAATTTTTTGATTGTACAGTGGGTTTATTGGGGCATTAAATGAATTTTACCTGCAATATTTTCAACTTAGCAATAGGTTTATTGGGATGTAACCCATCCTAAGTTGAGAAGCATCTATACTTGGATTTCATCTCCATTTTGCTACTGTTTGCAATCCTTTTGCCCAAGGAAATTAGCCTACTATGATGAATTCAGACTAACACCTTGTGGAATCTATCTTGGCAGCACTTCAGATATTTTAAAGAAAAAATACACCCTCCTGCTTCCAACAATCTTTTCATCTCAGTTTTAATCCATAACTTTATGTATCCATTCAGAGTTTTTTATCCATCAGAAACAACACTGCTTTGTTTTCATGAAATATTTTATTGGTTTCTTATGTACTTTCATCATTAAATGCACTTGGGCTATAACTCAGCTCTCTGTGCAGAAGCTAGCTTTTCATATTGTCATTAATAATTCATAAGCTCCATAGAATTACTTGAGACTTTTTAAACCAAGTATCTTGAATCTTAACATATCCAGTGTCATTGCAGCTTCTTGTTGAGCAAAAAAAAAAAAAAGAGAGAGAGAGACGATTCTGTGACTAGCTTTGCTGTCTCAGGAGACCTTGAATAAGAATTTTTTCCCCGTTTCTTGTTTCTAAGTTCAAGATGCTTGAAAAACCTAGAGTGTAGAAATACTGCATATCAGAAGCAACAAAATTATGCCAAATAAGAGACCTTACAGACTGCCCAGCGCCCTGGGGGTCAGAGAAGGAAATTTCCCATCAAACCTCATCACAGAAACCTCCTAAATGTGGTGCCCAAAGCTCAGAAGGCAACTGAGCAGGTGCGTAGGTCAGTTGCTAAGCCACGTGCCTGCTCCCGCCAGCCCCTTAGGAATGCCGTGAGGTCCCGTCTCTCCCTGGGTCCTGACCTACAGCAGCCACCTGGCTGCACTCGGTATGGAAACTGGCACTGTTGCTTCTGTAGTCTTCACACTCATTTTCCCCAGCAGCCACACTTAAAAATTTGAGTGAACTGTTAAATTCTAGGAATAATAAAAACTTGGTATGTATCTCTCAGAGGTCCAGGTCAGTTGGGTAGATGAGGTTAGATTTCTTTTTTCTTTTTTCCGTTCTCGTTTTTCCTTCTCTCTTTCTCTTTTAAGTCGTAAGAGATGTGGTTTTTGTAGGGAGGGAAAAAGGCTTTTCTCTGGGTTTCATTCCTCTCAAATTCAGTATTTTATTAAGTCCCGTTGGGATCAAGACTCAGAAAGTCAGGCAGCTTGTCTCATCCGCTTCATTATAATCAAGAAGAATCTGCCTTCTTTAGGGGTGTTTTAAACACTGCTACGTCTCAGAGACATGAGGTCGTTTCCTATACAAATTCGTGTTTTCATAAAATCAGGCGTTAGTGAAAGATGGAATAATTTTTCAGTCCCTCTGGTGTGTATCAAACTGCGCCATAGAACCATTATGGTTTTTGAGGAGCAAGAGGAATAAAAGAGGACTTTGTTCATCTGAGACTAGAATGTCCAAATTAACCGAAATGAATCATTCTCTATATTCGAGTGCTGCTGATTCTGCTGGAAGTGTATTAATGATGAGACTGATTGCTGCATTTTACAATTGTATTTTACTTATATTTGTAAATGTGATGTCGCAGCGACTATCTGATTTTTTTTTTAATCAAGTCATCCTTAATTAAGTCCCCTTGCCTGCTCATGGAAGTAGTGCTCCCAAAAGACAGGGTTGCAGGACCCTGCTACTTGATTGTTGTAGGGCAGTGCTTCTCAGACTTTTATGTGCATATGCATCCCCTGTGGGTGTTTTTTAACCTTCCAATTCTGGATTAGTCCATCAGGGGTGGGGCACAAGAGTTTCTATCAAGAGTTAGAAAGGATGGGACCCAAGAGTTTCTGCATTTCTAACAAGCCCCTGGTTACGCTGTTGCTGCTGAACTATTGATCAAACTTAGGATAGCAAGACATTACAATCTCTCCTTATGAAATAGTCAAAAATTTAAAGAAAAGACATTACAATCTCTTTACATAAAAAACCCAAATTTAATAATTCTGAAACTGGAGGGTAAAGGGTAGAATCAAATACTTTGGCATTTTTAAGGACAGAGCAGTGATTGAATGTGTACCTTCATAAAGGCAAATCTGATGGTTCACATCCTGGTGGATGCATCCTTGGTACAAAGGTTGCTTCCTTTGTACCCCTGCTACTACCATTTTAGGAGCAAATTGACAAACAGCTTCTGTTGGAATTCCTTGAGGATGGAGATAGTTACTGTGTTCCAGTCTTCATACATCTAGAGCCTAGCAAATTTCCTGGCACCTAATCAATGGCCAATTACTTAGTTGAATTGAATCAAATTGGATTGATTGAATTTCATTGAAACGATATAAAGATGACCTGGTTTTGTACCTTTAAAGTCACTTGTTTCCTCTCTAAGCAATTTATTCTGCTCTTATGTACAAATTTCAAATCGTGCTGTCAGTAATTCATATCTAATTTCCAGAGCTATATTCTATTTTTAGATCATATATTCTCTTAAAATGCAACATGAAAAAATAAATATAAATACAAATTAAAGGTAATGATTGAAGAATAGCAAAGTTCTTTTAGTCTTAGGAATACTAAACAAAATTCTACCTTCAATAAGAGGGCTTCGGCAATCATTTCTTATTAAAGAATTTTATTCTGGGGACCAGAGGGAAGACATTCATGGACTCTTTTGGCAGATTCAAACCTTCTCACTTCTTCTTTTAAGAATTGAAAGAAGTTCTCCTCACTTTTGAGAGAGTACAGATTATTCTTGAGTCCTCAATAAAATATGCCAGTCTAAAATATTAGTATATTTGCAGCCTGCATGGATTTCAATAAATTATTTTATCAATCTCAGATTGCATGAATCAAACTTGAATGCTATTTTTTATTCTTTCAGTATTTGATTTGCTTCTTTTATTTTTTAACAGCTTTACTTAGATATAATTCATATACCATAGAGTTTACCCATTAAAAATCTACAATTGGTTTTTAGTATGTTGACAAGAGTTGTATATCCATCACTACAATCAATTTTAAAATATTTACATTAATCCACAAAGAAATCCTGCACCCCTCAGCCACCACCTCCAATTCCTCCCTCCCCCCATCCCTTAGCAACCAGCAATCTACTTTCTCTATGGATTTGCATATTCTGGACATTTCATATCAATGGAATCGTACGATATATGGTGTTTTGTGACTGGCTTCTTTTACTTAGCATAATGTACTCAAAGTTCATGTACATTGTGGCATGTGTCCGTACTTCCTTTTTATAGCTGCATAATATTAATGTATGGCAGTACCACATTTTGTTTATTCATTAATTGGTGGACATTGAGATCATTTTCACGGTTAGCTCTTATGAATAATGCTGCTGTTAACATCCATGTACAGGTTTTTGTGTGGAAATATGTTTTCATTTCTATTGGATATATATACCTAGGATTAGATTTGTGGAGTCATATGGTAACTCTATGTTTGACCTTTTGAGGAACTGCCAGGTTGTTTTCCAAAGTGGCCGTACCATTTTACATTCCCACCAGCAGTATGTGAGGGTTCCAGCACTTCCCTGTTATCTCCAACACTTGGTATCTTTAAGATGTCTATCTTAATGACTATAGCCTCCTAGTGGGTATGAAGTAGTATTTCATTGTGGTTTCGACTTGCATTTCCCTTACTGACCAATGATGTTGAACATCTTTTCATACGTTTGTTGACCATTTGTATGTCTTCTTTGGAGAAATATCTATTGGGCTTTATCTTTTCGTTATTGAGTTGCGAGAGTTTTTTATGTATTCTGGATAAAAGTGCCTCATCGGGTATATATGATTTGCAAAAATTTTTTCCCATCCTGTGGGTTCTCTTTTCACTTTCTCAATGGTCTTTTAAAAACAGAAAAATCTTCAATTTTGATTGAGTCTAATTCATTTATTTTTTCTTTCATTGCTTGTGCTTTTGATTTCATATCCAAGAAACCAATGAATCCAATATCATGAAGGTTTACCCCTTCATGTTTTCTTCTAAGAGTTTTACAGTTGTAGGACTCACATTAAGGTCTTTGATCAATTTTGCCTTAATGTTTGTGTATGGTGTTCTTTTATTTTTTTAAGTGCTGTGATCTTGGCTACCATGCAAGTCTGAACAGAGCGCTAAGAACATATCTCTCTGCGGAATATAACCTTGAAACCTCCAGACATGAAGGCTTAGACATTATTGAGAATGCAGTTGACAATTTAGAGCCCAGGAGTGATAAGCAGAGATTCATGGAGATGTACCCTGCTGCATTCTGTCCACCAATGAAGTTTGAGTTTCAGTCTCACATGGGTGATGAGGTCAGTGATTATTTTTAAACTAATGACTTGTCTCTTCACTTACATTTCTCTGCACCTGCTCTAACCCAACAGTGGAAAGAATTCTTAGTTGTTTGCTCTCTCCTGCTCTTGCACAGGATCTTAGAATGATAGTATGCTAAGATCAGCCACTACTACCTTTTAAAGCAAGTGTCAAACACTCAAATAACTACAGAGGCCAAACAGATGAAGGTGCAAACTTACCTGGGTGTGAGCACTAAACTGTCCCAGAATAGTTGGAGAGTTCTTCCTCCACCTCAAGACATTCACATTTAAATTAAAAACAAAACATTTTGCTGGCCCAACAGAAGCTATATGAAGAAAGCTGTCTTCATAAAGAAAAATAACTATAAATGGCAGGAAAATGGAAAAAAGAGAAAAAAAATGCAAAAATTTTTTAAGATTCAAGTTGGCTCCAAACTGGTAAAATGGGTGTTAGAAATGATATATTATGGCTTATATTCTATGTATGAATTTAGCTTTCTATCCTATTTTACAAAAAAATCCATTTAAACTGATTATGAGGTACAGTTTTTTATATTATTTTCTATGGACAAGGGAAAAACAAGAAAAACCAACTAATGGAGCATGCTATATATATATATAGCACTTCATGTCCCAGCTGTGCAAAACAAAACTCATAGATAAAAGTTCAATTTTAGTTTATTGTGGTAACAGTCTGTTTTTTTAAAATAGATATAATTATAATATCCATGGCAGATTTCTTTAATGTCATATTTTTCCTGAAACACTAAGTGTTATATATATACACATTCATATATATATCTGTACCTGCTATATTTCTTATCAAATTTTATTTGTGTTTGATAGAGCAAACTACCTGTTTAGAAATGGAAAGCAGTTTTTATGCCAATAGCACCTGAATTTTGACAAGCAAGATGAGTGGCTTATCCTATCTTTCCAAAACCAAACAATCACTGTTTTAATTTGTCAGTTGAGGATATGTTAAACATAAAATAATATCACAGACAAATCAATTCAGTTGGTTATTAATGGTTTTATTATTATTTTAATAAAGCAAGTCTGTTGCCTTTTTTTTTATGGCCAGTTCTGCCAGAGAGCAGTAATCTCTTTGATGTTTTGGAAACTCCATAAAAAAAGGAGCCCTTATCAGCCAAGAGCATTTGTATGATAAGGATGATAAGAAATTGTTTATTTCTGGTGCAATTTTAATAATGCTCTCATTTTGACTTTATCTGTCATTGAGATCATGCCCAAAATATCTTCTACCAAAGCCTAAGATGAGTGGCCTCTTCAAGTTCATGGTGAATCACAGGATTTGGCTGATGTTGGCTAGGGAAGCCATGGTTGCAAGATGCTAAGAATAGTCATGCACGTTTCTGAATTTTTAGTATGTGCCAGTAGTGTTGAAAATGCTCTATGTGCATTGTCTCATTTCATTCCCACAACAGCCCTGTGGTATAAGAACTCTGAATATCCCCACTTTACAGATGAGGAAACTGAGGTTTTATCATTTACCACAGTGGCCCAGCGAGGAGGTGGGGTGGCAGAGCTGGGATTCAGGCACAACCATCTGACTCCAGAGCGCACACTCTAACCAATAAGCCCTGCTGCCTTCTTCTGCCTGTATGGTCCACATGGATCCTCCCCTGCCCTCTGCCTGGTAGTCATTTAAGAATTCCAGAAGTGAGACCAGCATCAGAGCTCCATCTCAGGAACTGGCCCCGTTCTTAGAGCAATGCTTCCTGCAGCTGCTGCCTTCCCAGTCGCAGCCAGGCCGGGCAGCTGCGTTCAGCTCTCGCCACTTGCATAACAGGTTCATAGTTAAAAGTGAAGTTTTGAGGCGGCTGTGAAAAGTAAATATGTAATTGGGATCTTGAGAGGATCAGCGTGATTCACGCAGCGTTTCGGTGGGAGAACCGTGCCTCTGGAGGCTGGTCGATGATGCCCTGGCGTAACTGCACTTTCTGGTTCCCCATCAGGTGTGCCAGGTCAGCGCCCAGCAGCCGGTGCAGGCGGATCTGATGCTCAGGTACCAACAGCTGCAGTCCCGCCTCGCCACGCTCAAAATCGAAAACGAGGAGGTGAGCACGCTTTCTGCCCCACCGGTAATCTGAATTCCAACTCAAACTGGAAGGCATTCTCATGTGACCCAGGCATGTTTAATATTCTAAATGCAACCTCTTCATCATGCGTTTTCAGCTGTCAGGGTTCCTGTAATACTCTGTTGGAGACAAATGCAGGGATTCCGTATTCTATCATAGATTAATATTTACCAGAGATTCATTGCATGTATGATACATGTAAACACACCTTTTTTCCCCCTTATATTGTAATTCATACTCAAAATAGTTTCCACGGATGATCTAATTTAACATACATGTCCAAAAATATACCATCATGTGTGCAATGGAACTTTTGGTTGACTTGTTAATTTAATCCGAACTTTTGAAATTAGTACAGTACTTGGGGTTTTTCTTTATGTCTCTAAATTAGTCTCTAAATTTTTGGTATTGAACATGGCATAACTGATATAATGAATGCAAAATCATATTTAGAAATGGTACTTGAATGAGGGTAGAGAAGTGTTTACTTGCTGACATTAGGGTATTTAAATGGATAGTACAAAAAATATGAATTATATGTTGAGCCAGGAAGCAATTGTAAAATTCAGCTGCTTCTTTTTGAAATTAACTTAATTGGATCCACGTTCTCCTAAAACAGAACTATGAATCAAAAATATTTCTTGTATTAGTCAAGGCTGTCAGTTGTAGTTTATAGGAACCCAAATCAAACTTACTAAAGTTAAAAAGTTAACTTACTGTTTGCAGTAGCCTCAGACGTTGTTGAATTTGTGTTCAAATGATGTTATCAGGAATCTTTCTCTCTCCTCCCCTCCCTTTGGCCTCCTCTTTTCATCACTTTGAAGTGATTTCTTTGGGGATAGACCCAGAACTACATGGTCCCTTACAGTTTGCCATCTCACTCCATCCCAGTGTCCTTATCTCTGAAATAGGACGGACTGTGCTGACCTGGCTTAAGTCATGCGTATTTCTGGACCACCATTACATCCAGGCAGTGGGGTTCTCTACTTGGCCAGCCTAGATAACATGTAACTCATAGAGCTCTTTGATTGGCAGCCCCAACAGAAATCATGTATTTCTAGAGACAGACAATTCCCAAAAGGAAGGGATGTACGACAGAAAGAAAAAAGTAACTAACAATGATAAAGTGAATTATCAAAATTCACATTCATACCCTGCTTTATTTTAATCCCAGTGGGATGTTTTGAGCTACGTTTGTTTGTTTCTGTTAAGAAAGAATGATGTGTTTCTAGACCAGCACAACTTGGTCAAAACCTATTGTAGTTTTCTGGCTCCCATTATTCCAGGAGGAACCAAACCAGCTCGCACTCAAATGTGTTTATTTAAGGTGCAACCCATGTGATCGCTACGTAAAGTCCCACCAATGAGCCTTTCCAGAGGAAAACGCTGTTGCTCTCCTTGAGATGGTGTTTTAGAGGTTACAGTTTTGGCTGAGCATCACAAAATACTCGCCTCATGGAGATTCCTGAATCCTATTATGTCTACAGTTTGTATGTCTAGTGACTCCCAACTTTTTTGTGCATATCTTCCTGCTGTTTTATTTGGAAAACATTCTCTAAACTCTAGGAAAATAGTGTATTATACACAAGGTCAAGACTGGCAGCTCACAGACCTGTTTTATTTGGCTCCCAAAGTTTTGACCTGTAAAAAATTTTAAAAGTCTCGCAGCTCTGACCCTGCATTGCCTTATGAAGTGAAAGACTGGGGCATTTGAATTCTACTTTGCATAGCCATTCAACTCCCTGTTCTCTTACATTGGACTATTCATGGTATCTGTCTGGCCTCAGCAGCCCTTTCAGTTTGTGACCCCGAATGTATGCCCCTTCAGACATAACGTGGAGAAGCACAGTGACTTTATAAGCCAGTAGAGGTGGACAGTGCTCTGAGAGTTAATTTAAAACGTTTAAAATTAGCTGAAGCAGCAAATGAATTGGGTTGTCCTGATGTTCCTCATGAGCATGACTAGTGGTTTATGATTTGGTGGATACAAAGCAAAATTTGCCATAGTGGAATGTGATTCCCAAAGAAAGTAAGATTTACAGTATATTTTTGACAATTAGTAGGTTTCTATAGGAACAGAGGGGAACAAAGTTGTTTCAGTTTATGTTAAGGTGCCTTGTGTATTCCAGATTCTTTGCTAGGTGTAGAGAGTGCAGAGATGAGTAAGTCACAATCAGCGTCTGTCTAGCGTGAGAGAAAGAGACTATAACAAGTCATTACTTGGGAACAACACGGCCATCATTGCTGATTTGGAGTCTCCGTGTAGCACTTTACCATAAATGAGAAATTTGTCCCCATCTTCCACTGATAGAAGGAAGGACAGAAAATTGACACATTGGTATCAAACCAATGTATACCAGTAAGGAAACGCATGTATAATTCTTTGCCTCTGTACAAATATAGCCTATACTCATACTCATAAAGCCCAAAATTTACTGGGAAAAGTGCAGTTAATTAAAAATAATTATGACTGCACAATGAAAAGGTCAAAGGTTGAGGAAGAATTTCATCCAAGTTTACAAAAGCATGAAAGCAGCTAAGTAGAACGTGAACCTTTTCCCCAAATCTTAGACTACTGTAAAGAGTGGGCACCACCCGAAATTGTGTGAGGCCACCACAGTTTCTATGCTAAGAGCCCACAGACCATATCTGGCCCATGACAAATTTTGTTTGCTCTACAGTACGTGGCTTTTAAAAGTTTCTTGCTGGCATGTAAAAATTTTGAGTTTTCATTAAAATATCAATATGCAGCATCTAAAAAATTAGGAGATCTGATCATACTAGGCCTGCATTTCTGCAGGACAATAACTGGCTTCCCTGAGACACAGAGCATGTGCTTCTTGTTTGCCATGCTGTCCACTCAGCCCACTTGCCTCATTTTCATTACTTGCTTGGCCCTTAAAGATATTGGAGTTTGCATCATTTGCCTTAAAACAAAGAGAAGGGAGCAATAAAACATTTGTGAAATGGCTTCGATATACTTGCAGGTAGTAAAAGCTGAAAGTAAAGGCTTGAGAATGGCTTAAGTTGGTGTTTGATGGAGACTATAATGAATTGTGACATTTATTGTCACTTCACAACTTTACATTTACCTGTCAAACTTTTTAAAATAAGTTGCATTGTGCTGCAAACTTGCATCTGTGCTACCTCAGTCTCATGATTCCAACTTCAATCAGCCAAGGAATTGAGAGACATTGGTGCCCACCATGTGTTGTGCCTAGAGAATCAGAGCAGCACCTGCTGCCACATGGCCTTATTCCCAATTTTTCTCTTTATTACTTAAAAGTATAACTGTTTATTAAAACTTTGAAGTGAAACATTCCTAAACATTACTCTTAAAAGCAACATTTTAAAAGCAAACTAAATCTACATAATCATTTACACCTTCCTCACTATAAGCATTTTCCAAACTCTCACCAACCTAATGTTGCACCGTCTTGTCTGCTTTTACGAAGTTTGCATTGCCCCTTTGTCATAGGGATTTCTGCTTAGGGGGCATTCCTGTTGCTGCTTGCTTTCAGAAACTAGCTCTGGAGTAATTCCCCACATATTACAGTTCCCTTTTCTTAGAGTTCCTCTTTCCTACCATTTATCTATACACAGCCGCAGAAAGAAAAAATGAATTACATTAGGTAGAACAACTATGCCTTTCATAGTCTTTAGGATTCAGACCATTTGCACCAATATTTGGTCCAGAAAATAGTTTTCATCCACATGTCACTTCTGTGCTATGAGCAAAACCTTCTCACATATGAAACAACTAGTCTCTGTTAAATTCTAGATTTACCACCCTGAGGGGAATGGAAAGAGAGAAGCCTATGATTCCTCAATCAATTTGCAAGAATGTTGAATGAACTGATAGCCCCATATAAATTTTCCCAGCACCACTTAAAATCTTTCACCAGCAGCTTGCTAAGGAGTCTTTAACAGATTGTTCCAAAAATATATTCCCTACCCAAGATATTTTCAACAATAATGAGCAAGATGTTAGCCAAACATTTGAGACTATTTTCATGGCTTGGGTAATTGAAGAAGTAAAATATATTTCAGTTATACCCCCTACCTAGGATAGAAAAATCACCTTTCGCCCCCAAATGTCCCATAGTACCAGTAAGCACAGCAGAATCCCTGGTCATGTGAATCAGTGATCAGACTCTCATGGGAATTCTCAACTTCTTTTAAGACTTGGTATAAAATGTGGAGCCTGATAACCATTTAAATTAAAATTGATGCTTCAGATTTTCTCTGTGGCCTTTAACTTCAGTTTTACTTATTTAAGTATCTCTAACTCACCTATAACCTGGTGAGGTAACAGTAAAAGCCTAAATAAAAGATAACTGTCATTTATCCTTTAAGTGACATCTTGGCCAAAACTGAAAACAGGGTCACCTGTCTCTCATCGCAAATACATATTTATATTTTTTTTTTTTGGACCAAATCTTCATGGCAACATATTTATATTTTTTGTTTCAAATAATTTTAATTCACTGAAGGGAAGGCCTTGATCCAAAAGAATCCCAAGGGAAATGAGACTTTTTAGAAAGGGTATAAAAATGAGTCGTGGGACAGGGTACCCCAAAGAAAACAGCAGAGATCAGGATGGCCCTCAGCAGAGAAAGCACACCTTGCTGGTTTATGCTGAGCATTCTTTGGCATCCATGGATTTGAAAGGAGGATGAACTCAACTTGCATTCATGCAGTGAACTTCTTCTGATAATTTGCTCTTTTCCAGGCACTGTGCTATCACTAGAGATCTAAAGATTAATAAGCTATCCCCGACCTCAAGTTGCTTCCACTGTAGATAGAAACATCAGCCTCTAAACAGTGTGGCAGGTGCTTGTGAGAGAGAGATTTGGGATCATGCTCCTCCGACCATACACAGGGTCAGGTCTGCCCACATGGGTCATTAAATTGAGTCAGGGTGGGCTGCAGGAAAGCCAGCTTTCTGAGACACAGCTAAAGGCAGAGATTTTGTTGGG